CGGTCCCTGCACCAGGTGACCTGTTCCGGCCGGGATCCGGGCGGCCTGGCCATGCAGCGGCGCGGCGCGGGGCTCGGGTGGCCGCAGCAGCAGCAGCACCAGCACCCCTCGCCGCCCACGGTCGGACCCCGAGCCGCAGCCATGGTCCCCCCGAGCGGAGGCCGTCCCCCGGGCCTCGGCGGCCGTCCTGCCTGTGCCCTACTCCTGCTCTGCTACCTGGTGAGCGCCGACCCTGTCCGGGTCCTCCCCTAGGCGCGGGGCCCCGGGGACGTGGGTGGGGGCGGCGGAAGACCCCCGCCACGCCGGGCAGGGACGTCGCTGCTAGTTTTTTTTTTTAGCTTCCTCGCCGCTGCGTCCAGGGCGCTCCGGGCACCTGGGATGGATACCCCGGGCGCAGAGAGGGGCGCGTGGACCGGACTTGACGCGCTGCGCTCTTGGTCCTGTCCCTTCATCTGCCTCCCAGACTCGCTCCAGCCCGAGGCCAGGTTCCCCTCCGGTCGGTCCCCTTACTCTCCTCCACTCCACCTGGGAGCTTGGATCCCCAGCGTATCCTTCCCGCCCCGCCACGCAGGGCTCTCAGCCCCCTCCCTCCCCTCGCGAGTCACCCTCCCAATCTTCTCGCAGCTCCTTTCTTTCCTGTACTCAACTTCGTCGCTTTCTTGCCCGCCTCGATCCTTCTTTTAGTTTACACTGGGTCCACTTGGCCCGGACGGTTTATTGCCAACAGATCCCGCGATGCACCTCATATTTCCTGCGCGCTTCAACTCCTTCTTGGTCACTCCAATCAAGTTGCGGATGCCAGAAAAGAAATCTTGTTCTTTGTAACACGCTTGCCACTAGAGTGGTGACTTTAGCTGCGTCTTCTGCCTTGTAATTTCAGAGAAGACGTTTGGCTTCTGTATGTCACTTTACCATTTCCACACTTCTTTGGTTTTTCTCGTCGTTATAAGCGAAATGGTAGTAGTAACCTCTTTTCAAAGCCTACTCATTTTATAGACTAGTGTAATTTAGACCCTCAGAACACGCTGGGGAAATATTTCTCAGTTCCTTTGATGGCTTGCTTGCTTCTGTTTTGAGTTCTTCTAAACAATAGTATTTTATAATTTGCAGAAGGTGACACCGTCCTTACCCAACCTACCTTATATTCCAGAATCCTGAAGAGGGGTTATCTCGCCATATACTACTGTAAATAAATGGAAAATGCTGAATCATGAAACTGGTGTAAGAGGAAATTTGCAAGATACTTAAAAAAGAAGAAAAAGCATTGTCATCGTCCAGAATTCTTTCCATTTCCACGGCATTGTCATTATTGAAAGCCTTGTTTCTCAGAAGCTAAAATTTGCTTTGGAGAGAGGAGCAGGCGTTAGAATTTAAACCTGAAGAGATTTGCCACCCAGCCCAAGTTTCTTTTCAAGCTCCTGACCTCTGAGATGTTTCATTTCTTGAAGTCAGAGGGTGTAAAAAGGCAAATTATAACTCTGCTTTTGTGTCTACCTGTTGAGCAATCCGTGCTCATACTTTAAAATTACCCAGTACCAAGTTTTTGTGGTCAGATTTATTTCCTATTTTCCCAAGTTGTCAGTTCACGTGAATGATTTTTTTCATGCATGAGATATTATTATTATTTAATATTTATGCCACAGGGTTACAGCACACGGGCTCATAAGTAAAACTGCCATACCAGATGACAGGGTTTCTGTTTAAACAGATGATCCTGTCCACTAGGCGCTGGTTACCCACAGAGGCAGAAATGATGTAGTGGAGCAATGTACAGGGGCTTCGGAAAGTTCCACATCCCCAGACCTGGCAAGGAGGAACCACTTCTTGATGCTCTCAAAAGAACTCAAAGTAACAACAAGAAAACCTGAGGGCCTAAGTGGACTGTGGGGGAGAGAGACGGAAGGTTGCGTGCATGTAAAAGTTGCATATGGACCAAAAGGGGCTTTAAGAGAACAGATCACAGACATTGGAAAATAATATGGACAGATAGGAGTGAGATAGTGGTGAAGAAAGGCTCCAAAAGGAAAGAATATAGAAAACACTGTAATGTGGAAAATAACTAGAGCATGGATGAATGTCTTGGCAGACGGAAGGAGTGGATTGTGGAAATATGGAGAGGGAAATGTCAGTGCTTCCTGCCTATGTGTGCTTTCATCAGATGGGTTGCAGATATGCTACCATAAAAGAAGTACTTTGATGTATAAGTAAACTATTTGGCAATGGAGTAAGAAGGTTTTGCAAACCCAAGGAGATGCTTTGTTCTCGTGGCTAACCATTTGCTGGGGATTTTGTGCTTGAGGTTGGGCTCTAGAGCAGGGTTGGGCTCGGGATGGTTCTTCCTGGGCAATTAGAAGCTTTAATTGTGCATCTAGTATGTGCTGTCTGAGATCCTCCTGAAAGGAAAGCAAGGTGTCGTGGTTTTGAAGAAGCTCAGTGTGAGTTGAAGAAGATGCACACATCTTTGTGAAACACATGAAAACCCTAAGACAGTGGTGGGAAAGTGCATTGCATTTGTGTTGTTGTTAAGTGCTATCGAGTTGTTCCGACTCACAGCCACCCTTTATAGTGTTTCCGAGGAGCCTCTGGTGGGTTTGAACTGCTGAACTTGTGGCTCAAAGTCCAGTGCTGATCCCACAGCGCCACACCACTTGTGTATAGTCTGCTTAATCAAGGAGTACTTCCCGGAGGAAGTGACTGGTCATGGGGTAGGGGTGGGCAGGTGGAGGGTAGATGTGAAACAGAACAGCTAGGCAGGATTTCAGACATGTATAGACACTAGAGGTTAAAAGCTTGGAACTAACAATAGCATGCATTGTGCTAGGTGGTTTACATGAGTTACCAAATTAACCCATTTAATTTTAGCAACAACCCAAGGAGGTAAGAATTATTATGATTCCCATTCAGATGAGGGAACTGAGGTTCAGAGACATTAAGCAAGTCACCCCAGGAAAAACAGCTACTCCAAAATTGAAATTCAAGTCTGTCTATCTCCAGAGCCCAGCTCTTAGCTATCCCTGCCAGTTTATTACCTTCTGGATTTTACTGCTTCTAACCCTTTCCCCTTATGCATAGACGTAGGGGCCATTAGCAAAGCTCTAGCAATTAGCCGCCACTGTGCAATTGGCCAGGATGTGAGGTCAGGTCTGAAGTAACCTAAACTTTATAAAGCAGGAAGCCCAGGCCTCAGAGTAGAAGCAGGATATTGAAAGTGAAAGCAGAACATATTTTGCCACCCTTGATAGAAAGGTAAAGGATTGAGTCATCCAGAAACAGCAGGTGGGGTTTAGCGTTTGAGTTTGTATGAACGTGTGCCCAAGTATTCCATGAGTGTGCCTTGAAATGCATCCTAAAGCCAAAGTCTCCACAATCTGGGGACCAGTTACTGTTTTTGTGTGATGCCTGCCTACCGCTGCAATTTCACAAGGGCTAGAGAGTGAGTGGGTTTCTGAACAGATACCTTTAAACCTCTGCTCTCGGGGGAAGCATGAACCTTGGAGGGGACAGAAGCCTTCCATTCCCATCAGCCCAGCCGGGACAGAGTCACCTTCAGAAGCGGCCCAAGAAGAATACTGTGACTGTAGCTAGGATACTGCCAAAGCATGAATAATTGTGATGAAGCCTGAAAGATAAGTCACGGAATGACGCCAAACAGATTTCTGAAAAGATGATCCCTGGTTCCCTCAGCTGCCAGAAAATTCTGAAGTCACCAAAGGTTAAGATGCATAGAGCCTCTTCAGTGAGGGTAAGACCCTCCAAAGCATCGGGAAAGGAAATCGCTTCCCTGAGGTCACTGCTGCCCAAACGACTTGTCCTGCCCAGCAGACAAGTCCTATTTTACATCATGAACTGTTTACCTTCCTCTAAACTTGTCCAGAGCCAGCCTAGAGCTGCCCAGCCCCATCAGAAGCAACGGTGCTTCTAGAAGGCAATTGTGTCGTTTCCCAACTGTGATCTGAAATGTGTGGGAAAAAAACCACAAAACTTTTTAAATGAGAAAATAAATCTCAAAATGGCCAAAATGGATGTAAGCTGTAGAGCTGAAATATTCAGAATGGAAATTTTCATTTGTTAGACAGCCAGTGGACAAAGAAACACAAGGATATTACCAGCACAGATGTATGTGGGGATCATTAGCAGTCCATGGCAGTGGTAAAATTTATCCAGAATTCTCTGTAAATGGCCACAGAGCATCCGTTTTTCATCTCAGAGTACTCATTAACCCCTTATTATATGTGTAACACAGGGCTCCAGAAAGTACCAAGAAGGTAACTAGTTGCTATCCAGTTGATTCTGACTCATACCCACCCTTTATGACAGATTAAAACTGCGTTCCCAAGGCTGCAGATTAATGCGCTAGACTGCAAGGTCGGTTTGAACCTCAAGGCCGGTAGTTCAAGCTCACCAGCCACTCCTTGGAAACCCATATAAGTTTGCTATGAGTCAGAACCAACTCAACAGTACTAAACAATGACAACCATCTCTACAGAAGCAGAGCAGCTGGTGGGTTTGAACCACTGGCTTTTTGGTTAGCAGCTGAGCACTTAACCACTGTACCACCAGGACTCTGCTAAAGAAGCTATGTGAGGTGCCGTTGAGTGAGTTAGTGATCCTGGATAGGATTTCTGAGGAGTGGCTGATAGTAATCCTGTGTAAAACAACAAAGTACACTGCGTGGTCCTCACAGTCTTACAGTGGTTGCTATGGTTCACCTCAAAGTCTAGGTACCATCACGTATCCAGGCTGCTGGAAGAGTGGCAGTGGATATTTGAAATACAGATGTAACCCCCAAAGTTCACATCAACCAATCGCTTCCACATTCGCCTCAATCATCTCAAGAGGTGACTTGTCTTTTGTCTTCTATTTCTTCTGGCTACTTGTTGGTAAATGTATCCTTGTTGTTAAATGCCGTCAAGTCAGTTTTAACCCATGTTGTTGTTGTTGTTGTTAAGTGCTGTTGAGTCAGTTCTTACTCATAGTAGGGTTTCCAAGGAGTGGCTGGTGAGCTTGAACTGCCAACTTTGCGGTTCAAACCGACCTTGTAGTCTAGCACATTCACCCACAGCACCACTCCAGGACCCCATTCTGACCCATAGTGTCCCTGAATAGGGATTCCAAGGAGCGATTGGTGAGTTTGGACCGCTGACCTTGCAGTTCAAACTGACCTTGAGGTCAAGTGCTTATTCTAAGGTACCATACCAAGACTCCTGGTGAATGTGTTG